GAGGGACCCCCGCCTCACCGCATGGAGGCGGAGCTGCCGGGACCTGCCTCCAGGGCTCCTTGTGCACTCAGCCCCACCCACCCGTGTGCGCCTGCTGTGCACGCAGCCTCCTGGTGATGGATTGTGATGGCATGAGTGTGTGACAACCATTTGCATATTAGCTCTTATTATATAGGATACCCGATTTCCTCTAATTTTGATGCAGACCATTGATAAATGTCCTCTTCCCACTCTCCTCCCCTCATTTCATCTATGGGAAATGTTCTGCACCACTAAAGGAATATATAGCATTATTATCAGTTAGTTGTGATTAACTTCACATATCGAATGATGGTATGCTAGATGCTAAGGGGAAAAAATTAAATAGATCTGGTCTCTGCCTTCTAGCACTTACATATTAAATCATGATAGAATGAGTTGTTATTTTTAATTGGCCAGCAAGTATAACATTTTTCACATAAAGTGTTCTAAAAAATTAGGCAATTCAATTGGCTTCCTCCATAAAGTCTGATTAATAATGCATACTAAAATATGGTGAACAGCTAAAAATGCCTAGGAAGTGTATAATAGTTCCATATTTTACTCCCAAGAAAGTGAAAATGCCTGGCAGCTGACAATTGGCATCTGATAGCTAAGTTGAAATATTTTCAACAAATATAAACAATTCTCAAGAATCTAAACAATAATCAGATGAAGCCATTCTGTGACTATGGAGTGGAATAAGCCAAAGGCAAGTCTATTCCATGACCAGATCTGAAACAAGATAGAGCTCAGGGCATTCAGCAACTATAAAAAATGGCATATTAACTATTGCATCTGTATAATAGCAAATCTAATTCTGCTTTAATATTTTTGCTTTCTAGGTAAAAGTTACCAACATATTTATTACTAGATTTCTCCCAATCCTGACAGTATCCAACTCCAAAACTCTTTTTAAAATATTCAGGACAAGCCTCTCCTAATTCTAGTTATAAAGCCTCTCCTAGCTCTTCCCATGCACTCAGAGATGTCTGGTAAGCCTTCTTCTTTGCCATAGCCACTAAATAAGCCTGATTTGGTAGATGTCCAATAATGTTTGGCTGGCAGTTTCCAACATGCCTTATGACCCAATTTTTATAATTTTATTTTATATGTTGAAAATTTCAGCTAAATGAGTAAATATTATTCTAAACAGTCTTATATGGCTTGATGTGTAAGTGAAAAAATATTTAAGATGCTGATGCTCTGTATCCTCTCAGTATATCAAATTACTAGGTGTACCAGTTAATAATGCAGATTTTTTTCAATAGATGGAGTTGGTATATGTTGATATATATGCAATTTGATATGTATGCTATTTTGTTGTATTGACAACAAGCTTCAAAACTTCATATGTCAAATTTACTGAAGATGTTAACATCATAGATATTTTTACACTTAAAAATGTCGAATTTTGTGCCAAAAAAAGAGCATTTGCAGGAAGTTATAATTCATTAGTTTATTTTGAAGAAAAGTGCTGCTGAATACTTTGGGAAGCTTGTGGTGAACATGCTCCATCTCAAGATACTTGTGAACACTGGTTTCAATGTTTTAAAAGTGATGATTTCGATGTGAAAGACAAAGAACATCCAGGTCAACCGAAAAAGTTTGAAGACCAACAATTGCAAGCATTATTGGATGAAGATGCCTGTCAAACTCAAACCAACTTGCAGAAAGATTAAACGTTGCTCAGCAAACGATTTCTAATCATTTGCAAGCATTGGGAAAGATTTTAAAGAAAGGAAAATGGGTGCCATGTCAACTGAACGAAAGACAAATGGAAAACCAAAAAGTCATTAGTAAAATGTTGCTTCAACGGCACAAAGGAAAGTCTTTTTTTGCATCGAATTGTGACTGGTGATGAAAAGTGGATTTATTTTGAGAATCCCAAATGCACAAAATCATGGGTTGATCCAGGTCAACCATCAACATTGACTGCAAGGCCAAATTGCTTCAGAAAGAAGACAATGCTCTGCGTTTGGTGGGATCAGGAAGGTGTGGTGCATTATGAGCTCCTAAAACCAGCTGAAATCATTAATACTGATTGCTACCGACAACAAATAATCAATTTGAATCACACTTTGATAGTGAAATGACCAGAATGTGCCAGAAGACACAGAAAAGTAATTTTGCTTCATGATGACACACCATCACACACTTCAAAACCAGTTAAAGACACATTAAAAGATCTTGCCTGGCAAGTATTAACCCACCCGCTGTATTCACCTGACCTTGCTCCTTCAGATTACCACTTTTTCTGATCAATGGCACACGCCCTTTCTAAGTAGCACTTCAAAACATACAAAGCAGTGAAAAATTGGACTCTGAATGGTTTGCCTCAAAACAAGAAAAGTTCTATTAAAACAGTATCCACAAATTACCTGAAAGATGGGGAAATGTGTAGCTAGCGATG